AAGATCGTGTCTAACACACACACACCCTCGGCACACTCCTCTTTGAAATTAGGCACACTGCAAATACAGAAGCCGTTTTTACCAGGATAAACTCTGTAATGGTATTACCGCTTATGGGTGAGGTGGTTGTAGCGGTTTTGGTGTCCTTGGAGTACTGTCCATGATACTTTATTTGCACTAGCATCCAAATTTTCAGGGTGTTCCCTTCTTCAAGGTACTAATACTGCTTGGACCTTGAAGAAAGGGGGTTACACCCCAAAAGCTTGTCCTAAAAATTTGGATAGTATTCAATTGTTTTTATTGCTGATGGGGTTATTGGGCTCCAGACGGTCGAAGGGGTTGATGTTCTTCCTGTAGGTAAGTATTTTTCCTTTTCCATTCAAAGCATTGCATTTCCGGAAAAATGAAAAGCCTCCACATATCTCCTATATTGTATCTGGTCGGTTTAAGAATAGCCCAAGCTAATAATATTACTGAAGTACACGCAAAGAACTGGCTTTCATCTTCAAATCAACTTCCGTGTCCTTCTGAAGCCACCATGAATCCCGTGATCAGTGTGTATGCAAAGCTTCCTGCCAGTTGACACTAAATCCCAGCACAGTCATTCAGCTGCCAAATGCTGCAACTTAAGTGGCCAGAGGAGATTCTGGATTGTGGGATTTAGTGCACTGACAAAATATTATAACATGTTAGTTTATTAACTTTAATAAAAATTTAAATGACTTTGTTGTAAACCTCTGAAAAGAAAAATGAACAAAGCATATCCCTCTATAATGTGTACTTGTCTTGATCAAAAGCACCTAGTATGAATTCTGTCTACTCTGCCATTCCTCTGCTATCTGCATGAGTTACTTCTGCCAGTCTGCCAACACCAAGCAATCCCAGGAGATGGCAATTGACAGCGTCAGCTGTGTACATTTCCCTATTAGACAGTGTGGAGGGGGATGGCTCCCATTCCCGCCACTCAGGTCTCAGATTACACTCAGCTCCCTGCTCTATGCTGTGCAGTGTGTGAGAACAAATCCCCACCCCCTGCCATCTGGACTGAAGGAATGCTGTGTAAAATGCGTGCTTTAGAAGGATGTAAAGGAGAAATGGTTGCAGATAAACAGGTAAATTTATGTAGGAGGATTTGTTTTATCTCTGTTTATCACCTGAGGCCAGTTAACTCACTGGGTATATGTAAGTTCCCTTTCACACTGGAGATCCAGTCAGGTCTGCCTGTCAGTTTTTCAGGCGGATCTGATCAGATGGTCCATGCATCTCTATGGACCGTGTCAATTTACACCCACCTACTTCCAATCTGATCAGGTCAGCTAAAAAGAAACTGAAGAGGACCCATCCCCTTCCATCTAGGCGGACCAGATGCCAGTTGGGTGTAAACAGACAACATAGTCAGTTTACACTTGGCCACCCATAGAGCAGAACAGGCTCTGTCCAGGTCTGCCTTGCATAAACTGAGCAGACACAGACCAGTCAACCGTCCACTTTCCTCCGATCAGCAGGGGATCAGTGGACTGATCCCAGCCTGTGCAATTTGAAAGGGGCCTTTACAACCACTTTAACGTAAACAAAAATTAAAATTACGTAGCCATTTAAAAAAAACAAAAAACTGCTGGTAAATAAAGTGCAGGGACCTAGTGGTTCCTCCACATATCCACAGCAGCTTTTACTGCTCCCTTCTACTTACAACGAATGATGGACCATTCTGATCAGAAAAGCTGTGATATGTGCGGATTTCCCCCCTCACATTTGTATTGTCCGACAAATATAAAGGGCTGCCACAGTCACCAATAGGAATGTGTGGGAAGAGAGCACACACTCCTACTGGCCAGTGAAGCATCCTGCCTTTCAGGAAGCACCGGAGATTTGCCCTATCCGTCATCTTACAAAAAAAAAAAGTGGGTTGAATCAGGGGCAGACTGACAACTCATGGGGCCCCTGGGGATAGGGGATCATGGGGCCCCAGTGTCCTTGCCCAAACTGAAAAAAACCTATGAAAAAGGTACCAGGGGCATCTCATGGGGCCCCCTACTGACCCCGGGCCCTCGGGCAGTGCAAGAGTTTCCAAATGGTCAGTTCGCCTCTGCTCAGAACCTGCTTACACTGCTGTATAAATTGCTGAATTCCATAGCAATGAAGAGAGAGAATATCTCACACTTCCAGTTCACAAACAGGTGGTTTCAGGGCCAGTTCCCCTTTTCTCAAGCCATCCTCAAGTTGCTTGAGAAAGGGGAACTTGCCCCAAAATGTGTTGTTAGGAAATGTTAGACTTCTAGAGTTTCCAAATGGTCAGTCCACCCCTGGGTTGAATACAAAATGATTTCTGTAATCTGATTTAACCCTATTTTTGTGTACTGCAGATGTTTACTTCATCACAACCCTGTCCTTTCTCTGGAAAGTGACTGCCATCACGCTGGTCAGCTGTCTTCCTCTTTATGTCCTAAAATACCTGCGACGAAAATTCTCTCCCCCCAGCTATTCCAAGTTAACAACCTAGACCCATCAATGTGAATGCTGGAACCACCAATACCCAGTGTGCACTCCTAATGCTGCTTTTCTGAACAAGGGATAAAGAAAAGGACGTTTACATAAAACTTCATGAACATTGGCAGTTGGAAGATGATCAAGCGGTGAATGATCACTCTTTGATGGAAACAAACTACAGGGTTTTTGTGACTCCAGCCTATTGTAGTGGACCTTGACACTAAGCTGCAAAAAAAAAACAAATTCCGACTTTGGAGATGTCTCTATCAAAATTTCACAAATGCCTCATCTATGGATGTCCATCACCGTCATCTTGGATATCTCAGAGTGGTGTCTAATATACAGATGTAGATTGGGTCTCAGTGATGTGACGAACATCAAATCAAGGAAGACATTTTGTAATTACCTCTGTTATGATCCGTTATTCCTCTCTGTTTGAAGAACATGGTCAGTAACACCACCTGTGCCCTCAATGTGTGAGAACCGGCTTATTGTGATCGTAATGTGAACAACTGTCAGTGTATTGTCGACACAAATTTGGGTTTCTCCAAACTGTACACTGTATGTCCAGCAGAGGACAAATGGGAACTGGCCACCTGAACCACTGGTCATATTTTTGTATTTATTTTTTTTTAGTCCGTTAAGGGAAAATATCAAATTGGAAATTATAAAAAGGTCTGCTAAGTACTAAAGAAACTTGCTTATGCCAATACCTGCAAAAGGTAATGCAGGCCATACATGGTACGAATTCCGAACGATTTTTCGTCCGAAAATCAGAAACGTCATTCGCTCGGTAATCCGATGGTGCCATCATTGATTTCGAATATCGGCCCGACCGAGTCATAAAGTTCACCCCATATAACAGGCAAAACTTCAGTTCCTTCCAGGTCACGGCTCATGCGCATATTCGTTTCGGAAAAATGATCGTACAATTTGACCATTGAATCGAAAATCAGTAGTTTTTCACAAATTTTCCAACATGCCCGATCACCGAAAAGGGGAGGAACCATAAAAATCGTCCAGTGCCATTGGCCCACTAACAGAGTGAAAATCGGCCAATTATTCTTCGGTCCAATTTTCGGATGAAAAATCGGTCTATTTTAAATCCATGTATGGCCGGTCTAACACTGGGATATTTGGATTCTCGTTTCTGTGCAGCTCCACTCAGGACTTCATTGCTGGGTAGATCTAAACCAGGAAATAGAGATCCCAAGATGCAGTGCAAGCTTTCATTGCTTTGGTATGTGCTGGAAATGCTAGCAATAGAGAGAGGGTATGCCTAGACACAACATTTCTATGGCTAGGTTCACACTGCTGCAATCACATTTTGATCCGACTTTCAGTGCAATTATGTGATGCAACTTGGATGTGGTTTGCATATTCAGAATTATGTTGGAATCGCACCAAAGTAGCACAGGACCCCGGTGCTGCACTGCATCGATAACAATTTCCCTTGTCATGCAATTCTGTGTGACTCAAATCACACTACTGTAAACCAGGCCTAACCACTTCAGGACCATGGATCTAAATCTGCTGTGCCCCCCACTGTCAGGAACATATGTTGAAGTGTTAATGGGTTAGAGTTTGATTTTAAAAACTCCCAATTTTATAAGTATATTCTGATTTTTAAGCAGCCTTTTATTTTCTTTAAAGTGTAACCGCCTTTTGACTGTGATTTTATATCTGCATTATATATGTGAATTTATACATACCCCTGCATTCCCTGAAACAAAAAATGGCACTGCAATGGCTTATGTTGACTGAAGATCCTCTTTCCAGCAGTGTGGCCTGCTACCTATGTTTTTGAGAAATGGCTGCACAGTACACACAGGGGTTGATTTACTAAAGGCAAATAGATTGTGCACTTTGCCAGTGCAGTTACACTCTGAAAGGGCGTTTGTTCCAGAGCTTGGTAAATGAGGGGAAGCTCTGCTGACTGATCTCATCCAATCGTGTGCAAGCAAATTTATATATATATATATAATTTTTTTTTTTTTTTTTTTTTCTTACATGTGATTGGATATTCCAAAGTGAAATTTCACCTTCTTGACGAAGTTCTGGAGCAAATGTGCTTGCAAAGTGCACAGTCTATTTGCCTTTAATAAGCCAACCCCATAATGTCTCCAAGCAGCTCTCGTGATTGACAGCAACGTGTTCACAGAAAATCACGGTGTGGACAAAACTCTGGGAACCTGTACAGCATGCAGCTTAAGATAGGGGCAGACTGACATCTCATGGGGCCCCGGGCAATAGGGGATCATGGGGGCCCCTGTGTCCTTGCCTAAACTCAAAAAAGCCTATGAAAAAGGTACCAGGGGCATCTCATGGGGCCCCCTACTGACCCCGGGCCCTCGGGCAGTGCCCGAGTTTCCAAATGGTCAGTCCGCCCCTGGATAGGAGCTATCTTAAGCTGACAGAACAATGGAGTCACAGTAGAATAAAAGACAACAAATACAATCTGTAGCTTCTGGCGTAAAAACCGTAAGCATGGCTGTTGTCTATAGGATGATCACATGTTGGTAATGCGTAAGATCTGAATATTTATCACCGGGTGTAGTGGATCCTCTATATATAGAACCAAACAAGACAGGAAACAAACTGTTTTGTTACCTGCCTTACAACAAAAATGGGATTAGATTTTAAGGCTCGTCTCACACTTCTGCGACTCTGTTGTCGTGCGACGTGCTTGCAACTTGATGGCACTCAAGTCACATCAAAGTAGTGCAGGAACCTTTTTAAGAGTTGCATTGACTGGAAAGGTCACAATTAAAAAGAAAAAAAAAAGTGGTTTTCAATTGTCATGCAATGTTGCAGCAGCAGAGTGAACCTGGGCTAAAGGTGTTTTCATGCTGACAGGTTATTTATTGTAAACAGGTGAAGGAAGCCTGTACACAACTGGTAGCCACCTCTCTATTAAACTGAGAAGAGTGGGAGCTTGCCTTTTTCTATGTTCTTAAAGGATAGATTCACCTTTCATAACATGTTACATGTTCTACTCATATTCGGGGTGTAACATGTTACCATCACACTGACCCCTGCTCCCTGCTTTGAAAGCTAGCAGGGGATCTTCTTCCCCCTTGCTATCTGTCAAATTAAAAAAAAAAAAAAAAGCGGCTGAGCAGGACTTTGCCAGCTTCACTCATTCACAGTCCTCTATGAATGAGAGACTACAAGTCCCAGCAGCCTTAGCGGCTGTCTGCTTGTAGTCCTCAAGGAACTACCACAGCACTGTGGAGCGCCGTGGTAGTTCATTCATTCTTCCTATCGGCATATCCGCTTGCTCGAACATCCCGTACGGACAAGCAGATATACTGACAAATCTGCAGGAGACCTGATCTACTGGTCACTGGTGCAATGCTTTACAGGCTCCTGCGGACAAAAACTATAAATGCACATTTTTTTACCTGCAAACAAAAGTGCATTTATTATATTTTTTTACTAAAAGGTGAACTTATCCTTTAAGTCAGAATGGTCAGCGAGGAGCCTGCTTTCTAAAGACCAGTACATGTATGGCATGCCTCCTGTGTCATCCAGGTCTCACTGACAGCATGGTCCTTGATGACCAGTTCAATGTAAGAAAAGTGGGTTGTAATCATTGGCAATGGGTCCCCTGGGGATAAGTTAACTGGTGCCCACTTGGTGCGGGTTATTATTTATGTAGAAATTTTGTTTAAGAGGGGATCCTTGTTTAGACTGTTTACCAGAGACCTCATCACCAACCTAACTCAGGCAAATAATCTGTATTGATAGTACATACAGAAATTCTGCTGCAGAGATGTGACTCCAATTAGTAGAGATATCTTTGCGGTAATACTACATCAAAATCGACAGCGCACAGAGTATTGGATGCAGAGCCTACAAAGCTGCCTGCACAGCCGCCCCGACAACTACGTCATCGCTGTGTGTTTTTGCAGCATGAATGAAACACTCATAGGATCAGCGCTAACAACTTCTGCATAGTAAGTCTGCAGTCAGATGCAAAGGTTCTCAGTGCTGGTCTTATGAGCGGTTTCCTCCTGCTGCTGAAACAATGTGATGAAGTAGGGAAGAAAGGGAACATGGCACTGCAAGTGGCTCTCTATCTGACACTTCTGGAAGTGTCAATTTTGCTGTAGGATTGCCACATAGATATATCTGCTGATCTGAGTCACACTGCTACAGCAGGCAGGGTTATGTAGAAAATACAGAATGCATGCCTGCCTTTAGTTTGCTCAATATCAGACAGTGACAGGGACTCTTTAAACAAAATGGCAAATTTAGGGGGGGGGGGGGGTTTGCTAAAACTGGAGAGTGCAGCTCTGAATAAAAACCAATCTGCTTCCAGGTTTTATTGTCAAAGCTTAATGGAGCAAGCTAAAGTTAGAAATTGAATGACTACCATGCACTGCTGCACCAGATTCTGAGTGCTCCTATTTTAGTAAATCTCCCCCCATGGTGTCCTAATATGTCACAGGATACCTGTGGTCACTACACCATTTAACCTATGTCTGTGATATTCCCAAAACCATGTTCCCAAATTAAAGTTGTATTTATATTTATTTTTGAGCATCGTTGCAGTATGAAAAATTCTTGCAGTAAATAGGAAACCTATAATATAAAAATGGCAGACGGTCATTGTAGGTAGATTGTCATTTGCATTGTATGTTTTACCTTTTGTCTGAAAAAGGGAAGATCAGTCTATTGTATCTTTTGTCAGCAGTGCCATTTTTCACAACTATCAGAGTCAGAGACTACTACAACAACCAATTACTACAGAGGAATAACCCCGTTCTAATGCGCTTGGAACCAAGTGTGGTTTCTCTGTGCAGTGAGCCTGCCTTTCTGCCATCCTGCTGAATAATGCTCTATATTGTGTTACTGATTTGATTTTGTAAGCAGATGTATATAATTATAATGTGTATGATTTACTTTATTTATTGTTTTGTGGACTTGAAAATAACAGCCAGTTCAAAATCGTAAAAAGGGACGGAGATGGAAATAAACTAACTTTCTGCAGACCTGTCTCTCGCGTTA